GATAGGGGGCCGATTATATCGTGCATCCCTAGTTATACTTATTAATAGTGTTGTGCAAATGCCATTGTTTGTCCTCGATACCGATACCTGATACCTGGCCATGCAGGTATCAGGTATCGGTATTGAAATTGATGTGTGTGTATATATGAAGAACTACTGCATACTACTAGGATGTAAAATAATTGCCATTATGGCTTTGTCAAGCTGCTGTCTACCTTTGTGAAGCAGGAAAAAGACTAATACAAAGTGAATTCAGTAGAACTTTCTATTGCCTACCTGAAATGGGTGACCATAGTTTAATAAACTGTTGGCTCTCAAAAAGGTATCAGTGCCCTTTTTGTCGGTACTCGCTGATACCACCATTTTAGTGCAGTATCAGGGCTCTGTCCGATACTGGTATTGGTGCAACACTACTTATTAATGATACTAAGAACTATATCTGCAACTGTTACTACTAAGATAGACTACTAAGAAGACAAATACAAAGAGAAAATTTTTCAAGAAAGCCACATAAGCAGCACAGAAAATATATAAAGTAAGGGAAGTCTGACAACTGAATTCTGTGAATAAAGGTGAATGACACAAACAAAAAGCTTAGCAGTGACATGCAACAACCCCAAAGGTTCCTGTTTACAATATTCTAGGGTGTTTACTGCACCACATTAGACAAATAAGTAAATTAATATGAAAAGTAGAGTCAGAGGATACTTTCAAAAAAGGTAAGGAAGAATGCCCCTAAACCCTTCTAATATCAATTATATCCTAATATCAATTAGATCCGTTAAACCTATTTATGGGCAATTTTTTTTTTATATATATATATATCAGGTCTTTTAGCAATCAGCTGCATTTACATTTCTTAACAAAACAATAGATTACTTACTCTACTGAAAGAACAACAGCATCTAGCTCGGTGACAATCTTTCTGGCTAGCAGATCATATGGACTCATTCCTGTGTAGGACGAAAAGACAACAAAATATCAGATAACTCTTAAAAACAGATCAATTAATTCAAACATGTTTAAATACAAAAACAGCTGCTATCTCAAATAATTTCTTAAATATAAATTGGTCCTTCAAACAGACTAAAAAGCAATACAGTTCTTAGATATTAGGTTTAAGTTTTTTATATGGATGGAAAAAATGAGGGGTATGCACAAGCACTCAAAGAGTTGTCTGTTAGACAATTCCAACCTGAACTCAGTTGTTCTCTATACAAAACAATTTTCAGAATGCAGTGCCAAGAAATATCTAGTCTTGACTGAATTATGATAAAGACAAAAGGCATCTGCAGATATTGTACAGACAGCTCTGAAAATATTTATATTTGTCACTCCATTAGTATTGGAGCATTTGTAATGACATGAACAGATAGATTAAGAGGGGCAAGAACCACCAGATTTTACATTATGATTTAGCAATTAGGCTAAGCATAAGATGCTAACTTCTGGAGCTGCTACTATTCCAGATGACACACTTTTTTATAGCCTGCTCAGCCTGACCTACTCTGTGATGCCTGCAATCTATTCATCTTTCTACTTCTCCTTAAGACGTACTTTCAGTTCCTATAAATAAAGGAAAAAATAAGGGAGCACAGCAACCTACGGGAACTCCCCAGACACCATCCTCCTCCGTGCAGGTAAATGACAGCTCTCCTCATGTCAGTGTCTACTCCCTTCTGCTTTGGCTGGTAGACCACCACCTCCACCCCATCAAACTTTTCTTCTGTCACTTTCACAAACTCATCAGACACAGGTACGATTCCTTCTATTACAGTAATGACATACATTACATCCATGTAGTCTTTCAGACCCACAGACTCGCATAGGTCTGCCTGGAAAAAAAAGATATAAACAAAAAATGATTAAAAGAGTTATCCTCAAATCATAACTTATAAATGCAGTGAAACCTTAAACCATGTTTCACAATGAAAACATGAAGACATGTAGAACACGTAAGCAGGAAAGGGGCAAAATAATGGTCACATGATTGCAGCTTTGTGTAATGTCAACTGCTTCTGAAGGATATCTGTTTTGAGAAGTCACAACAAAGGGGAAGTCACAACTAAGAGAAAACGTCAGCACTTCAGACTTAAACAACAACATGGATGCATTCTTCCTGTTTTAAAAAAAACAATGCACATGTGGTTACTCGGTTAATTTAAAATATAAAAAGGCTCCGTTTGCTCTAAAATCAAATAAACATGTTAATAACTTAATGTAAACTATGAGACTGAAAAGAACACACAACCTGCAATCATTTTCACAGAATTTAAAAGAACTTTTTGGAAACTGTCCTATAATTTGTGCCTGACTGCAAATTATTTAGTCAAATAAGTGAACAATGACTATATAGATCATTGTTCTACCACAGATCTTTACTGTAACCAATTTTAAATTTCAACTTCTGCACATGTTAGAAAAGATTGTTTTCTTTTTTTTTTATTCTAATAAACAAACTAAAATAATGTGTCTTATTTATCAGTCTGATGGACAAAAATGCAAAAATAAAGAAAAATAATTATTTTTTTATTATTTGTGAATTATTTGCACTTGCCATCACATACTTTAAAGTAACTAGAAGGTATAAAAAGCCCAAATAGGTGCCCAAATCTTCAGTGTCACAAACAACAGGCATTGTTGCACTGATAAATGGAGGTGAGTTTCCATAATAGGATCTATTATTAGACCAGGTGAGAAGGGCTATACAACTCATGGATTAGCATCTGACATAATCTGGTGTAACCAGCATGTATATATCTACATCAGCAAAAAAAATATATATATATACATATATATATATAACAATGCAATGCTATACAAAATACTGTTAAATTAACTCCAAACTAACATTCTTCTATTTGATCTGTTTTAGAAAGTCACTAAAACAGATCACCAAGAAAGTTTTCTCTTACCAAATGACTGAGAGTTCTGAAAAAGGAATTGGTCAGCATAAGTTTCCATCTCTCCTCTATCGTTTCAGGAATTGGTTCATAAACATAATAGGCTGTAAAAGAGCAGATAGCGACGAATAAAATGATGTTTCTCAGCCTCATTTTAGAGCTTACGTCCACCGGCCGCTGAGTGCAGGCTGAAAACACGGACAGACTGCTAGTTGCGCTTGTTAAGGAGTCGGTCCGGTGCGCAGCAGAGCATACGCCCCAAAAAAATCAGATTCAGGCGAGTTAAATATCACAGCGGTCGACGGGTATTATTTGGTGGCTGTCAAGCCTGCATATTCGGAGCTTTTCTTCGCTGTTGGTGCGCACTCCTCGGAGCATGTCTGTCTCGTGGAGCGGCGGAATTAATTAAGGTGTCGGTGGTGTGGAGAGGGCGCGCGCGTTGTGAGCTCACGAGGCAGTACCGTCCCACCTTGGCCGTTAGGCAATTCCTCAGGTGCTGTCTAATCGTTTGTGAATTATAACGAAACTCTTAAAACGTCGTGCATAAATAAAACAAAGCAAAAAAAAAAAAGCTATTTGAATTGAGTATTTTACAAAAAAAATAAATAAATAAATAAACACAAAGCTCATCAAAATTTAATATTTTTTGTGTAATGTTTTTGGTTACAGTAAGCTTCTGATCCTCTTTCAGAAATTGCTGCCATTTTTAAGAAATAAACTATAGAAAAATATCTGGACTCTAGATAAATATATGTGGTTGCAAGGCAGCCTAAGCTAATTATATGATAGGTGTTAGATTTCCCCCAGCATAACTGACAGTAAAAAGCAACATGACTCTGATGCATTCAATGATACAACTCATTTTAAAATGCTGCTGACAGAACAGCTCAGAGCAGGAGTTTGTTACAGAAACTTCAGTAGAAGATCCAGTCAAGGGTAAATAATCATGATTTCCTATCAATATAATGACCCCTTTGTATCCATGATACAATTCAGTTTTGTACTTTACAGAGGCAAGGATGATAACATGTAGGCTAATGCTTGCTCATGACTTGGATGCTATGTCTTAAGGAAAAAAGACAAACAAACAGGCCAATGTCATCTTGATGAGTAATGGGATAACTTTGACCATGTTACATTTAGTAAAGTCAATCAGGTAATAAAGCTATGTAGCAAATCATTTAATAAACATTTTTGAAAAGTATAAAGTTGGCATATTATTATCACTTTATAGCCATAGCATAAAAAAACTGAAGGAAATAAAAAAAAACTGAAGCAAATAACAGAATGACTTGTTTTTTTATTGGGTTTATCATGTTAAAAAGGGCAAATTTTATAATAAATAACACAGGGGCAGTGTGGGCAAAATCTGATAAGATGGATTGTTAAGCTTAAATAAATAAAACTGGGCTACCTCACCAACACTATCTTGTTTCAAATATGGGTGCAATCGCTGGGCTGTTTTATATCAACAGGTTATGCATTTGATCCATATTTAGGATAATTTATTTGTACCAAGTTAGGTTTTCACCTAAAAAAATAGATTAAGGTCACTAATGTCCAATGTTAAAACTACAAACAATACTGTAAACAGTCTTGAAACTATTACAATCTAGAGTGAAATTAATATTTTTTGTTAGTTTATTCTGTAAATCTGGTTTAAAATTAGACTTAAAAACAAACAAAAAAATTAATAAAACTATCTACTACTAAGAGCCCCTGGAAACATGGTGAAATATTGCATTATGGGGGCTGCACAAACTGCTGAATGCTGCTGAAAGCTGAAATGAATGACATTTGTTCTCGGAGGGACTGAGATACTGAGGGACTGAGTATTCCTGTCCCGATGCAAATCCTACGGGAGCAGACTGCTCATTAAACAGGAGAACCCGGACACACTTGCTAGTGGATGGCTGATTGGGATCTGTGATTGGGATTAATATGAATGCTGCAGAAACTTTAAATAAAAATCGAACAATATTCAAATCTACTTTCTCTGGCAGAGGAGCACATCCCTGCTTACCACCTGAGATTTTACATGATACATGATCTGTTTTCAAGTTCTAACAACTGTTTACCCTGTAAAATCTCACAGAATGATGTCTGGTTCAGAAATAGCATGATGCTACTGGACTAAATTGTACTGAAATGACTCCATTAAACTACTGATTGCACACCTCAATCTGTCTCCTTTGACTATGAATTCTCCCCCAGTCTCTGTCTGATCTTTTGGGTGTGTAGCAGGCTTATTATTAAAGGGTCGTGGTTGATCACATTGAAAGTTTCATCATTGTCTGAATTAGAATCGGTATTCATTGTTTACTACTGAAAGAGGACTCACTTCCAGTGTCCTGCTTTAGATACGAAAGTACATTTTCCACACAAAAACAACCCAAAAAGCCTAAATAGTTCTTGTTTACATTCTGATTCAAAAACCAATTTCTCACAAATTGAGGCTTTAACCTGTAATTTATTGTAAGATCTTTACAGAATTAGGTTACCAACAATGGATGACCTTTAAGTGAAGTGATAATTTTGGTGTTTGTCCTGTTTTGCCAATGCCCCAGACAAGATGATAGCCCAATAGATTTGCTTCCACTACATAATTATGACTGATTCTACTTGGTACATGTATATGAATCTTTATTGGAAATTATTTTGGCAGTGAAATCATATACAATGAACATATAAATGAGGTGAGAAAGAAAGGTGATAAGAACTAAGGAGAGAGAAAGAGACAGACAGGAAAGAGCTCATGAAAAGTGAGAAAATAAAACAAAACAGCAAAAATAGACAACACAGAAGATATCCAATAACTCCTAGAAAACTGATTCCACACCTGTATGACACAAGAGGGAAAACAACAGAGAGCATAACAACAGCAAAAAAGAAGACAGACAACCAAAGTAAACATAAAAAAAGCTTCAAGAGCAGCAGGTATACCTTAGATATCCATGTGTGTAGAAAACTATCAAGCAGAAGTAATGTATATAGAATAATGTCACAATCAAAGCATTTGTGAATTAATTCAGTGTAGTTTACATCTAATCTCAAGGAATGTAATCATTAATTGATGCTGATAGGTTTCATTGTAGTATGTATGTACATTTCAACAGATCTTTGATATCAAACAATACGTTTTGTTTTTTTTTATTATTATTGGTGTTCTCTCTAACCTCTTACACCCTAAGGGGGTATAAATATATTTCTGCCTGACAAAAACACACAAAAGTAAATAACTTATAGCCTCACAGCTATTAGATTTAAGAAGAAACTTTTGGTACCTCTGTAAAGGTAAGATGTCATAGAATGGTTTTCTGGTGTCAGCACCATTGTAGCTTTGACCCTGCCTGAACTATTAGGGACAAAATACAAAATATTTTGCATTTTTTGAACCTCGCCAAAATTTTCTTTGAAATAAACATTGCAAAACACTACCAAAATATTATTTATAGCACAAAAAAGTAGTACAGACTTTTAAATCTAAATGTTGTGTAAAAATATACCAAATTTGGACTCAATCAGATGAATCATATTTATTTTAGAATGGTATTAGTGAGAAATTTCTTAGGCGGAGGGGCCATTTTGGCACATTTATCCATAAATGTCACCAAACTGTGCCAAATGTGTTTTTTACATCAATACTGGGGGTTTGTTAAAATTACGAGGTCACGTAGCAGCTGGACCCACCGGTGGGTCCGTAGGGTTCTAGGGGCTAAGCAACTTGCATCATTTACTCCTCCTGGACAAGCCTGTGGTCAGTTTGTTGCATTCTGTCATTGACTTTGTCATGCAGAAATCCTTCATTTCCAGCATGCATGTAACAGCAGAGAAGAGTAAACTTCAATTTAACTGGAAGTTACCTCCACCATGATGCGGCTACCTCAAATATTAAAGGTCTACAAGACAGGATCCTAAATTATTGCCTAATGTTGTACTTTACCTAGAGTCTGAGTAAAAATAGCTGTGGTAGTAACCACTGAAAGGATCAGATGCATGGTGGTGCCTGATTATTAGGGACTCTATCATTTAGAAGGAGAATTTTAAAATAATCTGGATTTAAAAGGAGCCAATGAAGATATCTGAAAATGGAAAAAGTAGAAATATGTTCTCTCTTTTAAATTTTAATCAGAACTCTTGAGGTTTGGATAAACTATGGGTTTTTACTGCATTTTGTGTACTCTAAGTTGTCCTGGTTTTGATGCCTTCAGCCCATCTAACTGCCTTGAAAGGTTTTCTTACACACACACACACACACACACACACACAAAAAGAAAAAAAAATTATATACCGGTAATAAAAGAAAAACCCACAAATGTCACAGAAGTAACTTGAATCTGACAAAAGCAACAATAAAGAACGATTCTATGAACATGAACTAATGAGAGTCAGACATTGATTTTTCAATCATGCTTCAACAGAATGTTTAAAAAATACACTCATTGATTTCCTGGGAGTGGCAGCCTAGTGGTTAGGGTGGTATAGGCCTTGGAATCTGGAGGTTGTGAGTTCAAGCTGCCACTCTGGCTCTCTGAGCAAGACCCTTCCCTTAACCCCAAACAAGACCCTTCCCTTAACCCATATGCAGAGAGTGAATTTCGTTGTGCTGTACTTGTGAGAGTGTAATGACAATAAAAATGCTGGAAAAATAAGAAATGGCGCTGGACACAAATAATGGTACCCTTAAATTTGTATTTTGTTGCACAACCTTTGGAGGTAATCACTGCAATAAAACAATTGCAGTAATCTGCAGGGTTGTTGTTTTTTTTTACCTACTCCTTATTAGAAAACTTCCTAGGTTGTTTTAGGTTTGAAAGATGCCTTTTCCAGATGGCATGTTCAGCTCCTTCCAAAGAGGCTGAAAACTATTTAGGTCAGAACTCAATAGAAGGCCACCTCAGAATAATCCAATATTTTCCTCTTAGAATAGTTTTCTCTAGAATCCATTGATTGTCTTAAAATTCCAATCCCTCAGAGATTCAAAACACCCTGTTTTATGTCCTGTGTGTGTATGCATTGTTTTTTTCTGTCCTCCCTTTGCACGTTGTCATAGGCAGGTCTGATTCCCAGCTGTACCTCATCAGGGGGTGATTATTCAGAGTTCATAAGAGGAGCAGGTTCCAGAAGCAGACCCTGGATGGTAAAATGCCATCCTGTGGTAATCAGGTTCCTCAGTTGTCTTTTGGGCTTAGATTGTGCTAAAAACAGCATAATAGTAACATTTTGACTTTGTCCTCCCCTGCAGTTCCTCCTCATTGATTGTTCTCTTGTTCCTTGGCCTAGTCCCTACCCGAGTCTTGTCCTGGAAGTCTTGGCTGGCTGCTCTGTCTCTGCTCCTCCATCTGCCCACCTTCAAACACTCACCTTAAGGCTCCTCAGATCTCCCACCTGCCTGTTCACCCTCCAATGTTTTGTTACTGCTGGAATAGTA